TTTTTTTTTCTAAATAAATATGTACTTCTGTAATAAAAAATTTTAAAGCATTTTTATATTTAGGGGGCTAGCTGGTTAGCTCAACTGGTTAGAGCATGGTGTTATAATACCAAGGTCAGGGTATGGATCCCCATACTGGCCAGCCATCAAGAAAAAAGAAAAAAAAAATTTTTTTTTAAAAAGAGGGCAGTAGTAAGAGATAGTGTTCTAACACTGCTGCATATATCCGCAACTACATTGGTCATTCTCTCAGCCTCATCTGCACTATAGGGATAATAATACCAGGACACTGAGGATTTGCTGGTAAGGATGAATCTATGGATGTGAAGCACACGCACAGGTCCAGCATGTCTACCATGGTAAGGAATTAATAAATGTTAGCTATCAATATCATTATTATTGTGTAAAAAAATACATAAAATACAGCACTAATGGAAAAGATAAGAAAGATCAGGAAGTAACAACAGAAACATCTTATTGTCAGCCAAAACTACTAAAACTTGGTCACAGTTCTGAGACAGGCATTAGGAATCACATTCAATATTTATAGTATGCATAAAAACAGCAGTGCACAAACAGCAAAAATCCCTTGCCCTTGTGGAGCTTACATTTTAATGAAAACATCAAAACAATTATTTTATATATGTTGACCCCATGGGAGAATTTTACAATATCTGTAAGACTCAAGAGTGGACATTTAGCAGGTTTAGCTAATTTAGATTTTTTCAATTATTCAATGTTGAACTGAATACCTGCTAAAATGTATAAAAAAGGAAGCCATGGTGAGAAGCTGTTCATAGTGTGAATACAAAACTCAACAAATATTTGAGCACCTGCTATGTACCAGTAAGAGATCTGCAACATAACCAGCGTCACTTTAGACAAGCCCAAGTACAAAATGCCGCCCTCCCCCACCTTTACAGGAATCCTCTTGACTTAAACAGAAATGCTTTTGCTTCTGCAAGGACCCGGTTCTCCACCCCAATCCACATTAGCATAATGACCCTCCTTGATGGTATCAGCCAGCCCTTGGTGCACTATATAAGCTCTACCACCCCCACACCTGGTGCTGTCCCCTTTTCAGGGCTGCCTGCTACTTTGAGCACAGCCCAGCAGATTTTCTTCCTTTAATAAAGCTTGAATGGTACCCAGCATCTAGGCTCACTTTCTTTCAACCAGTGTATCATAATGGCTTCCTTTTTAATTGACTTATGCCACCAGAACATTGCAGCTAGACTGTATAAAGAGTACACATATTGAGAAAACTTGGAAATTAGTACTATTAGTGGTTTCCAATCTTAGAGAAAACTCTTCCAATTTAACAGGCTAACGCATTTTTCTAGTCATACTGCTTGTTCTTGTAGTTTGCAAATGAGAAAAATAGTAATCATCTCAGCAGAAGTCTAGATATAGCATATACTCCTACAGTCTGGAAACAGCAGAAAGAATGTCTTTCTAACAGTTAGAAACTGGATGGCCACCCAAGAGATGTAGGATTTTTTTTTTATTACCAAAGCTATTAAATGAGGACTGATGTGCTTTTAATAAGTCAACAAATATATCAAGTAATTATCAATTTCTGGTTTTAATATTAGAAAAGTGGTAAATCATAAGGTATTTAAATTCCTAACTGGATTTCCAAATTCAAATTTCACTTTCCAAGGGCTGGGCTGTGGCTCTCTTGGGAGAGTGTGGTGCTGACAACACCAAGTCAGGGGTTAAGACCCCCTTACTGGTCATCTTTAAAAAAATAAACAAACAAAAAAAAGCAAATTTCACTTGCCACCTACTACATATGACATTAAAGTATTATAAAAATACAAAATAGTATATCCATTCAGTGGAATGTTATTCAGCCATGAAAAAGAATGAAGAAGATATGTTACAACATACATGAACCTTGAAAACCTTATGCCAAGTGAAAGAAGCCAGACACAAAAGGCAACATATTATATTTATATGGAATGGCCAGAACAGACAAATCTATAGAAACAGAAAAATTAGTGGTTGTCAGGAGATGAGCAGAGAGGAATGGGAAGTGACAGCTAATGGGTACAAGGTTTCTTTCTGGAGTGATGAAAATCTTCTGCAATTAGATAGTAGTGATAGTTGGACAACTCTGTGACTATACTAACACTACTGAATTGTACACTTAAAAGAGTGAATATTATTGTGGAGTATGCATAAAGCAAATGTACTTCACAGGGCCTGGTTTTCCAAAGCCTTGCAGTTTCAAATATTGACCTTGCAAAGGACAGGAAATTTTCCCCAGGATATAGTCTCTGTTGTAAGATAAAGAACTGTAACACAGCAAGGTTGCTGGCTCAAAGGACAGACAGGTTACTGATTAATATGTAAAGATACTGGGAAACTGCTGTAAGAAGAGAATGCTTGCTAAGATCAAGCTTTTGTTGGTGGATCAGCTTAACTTCTTGAAAATTGCATTATAGAAGGTCACCTTGCTTGACTTACTGAATGTTACCAGCTTCTATTGTTAAACTTGTTGAACTATACTTAGCAAAAACCCCACCTATGCTCTCTTCCTGCTGTAACTTCCTGGTCTGGAGAATAAATGCGGGAAGAGAACCCCAATTTGTGGTTAATTTCCCAAATGGAAGGAATGCCTCTATCTTGAGGGTTCCGGGAGATTAACTCCTTTTTGGGGCTTCTCACTGCTCAGAAGAGATGGGGGCTTTGAGTAATCTTTGGCGGTTCCATCACCCAGGGGAAAAGGGGCGACAAATTCACGGGAGGCAAAGCAACACATTATGATATGCAAATTGTATCACAATACAAAATATATATGTAAAATAAAGCATAAAAATTTTCTTACTGAAAATGCTGGCAATTCAAAAAGACATTAACTTACCAGTTGAAGTTTTGCCATTGTATCTTCAAGATTCCGCATTTCAGAGAGCTTTCTTTTAATCTCTTTCTAGGGATAAAAAGCCTATTAGGTAAACACCTAATTAAAAGTTTAAGAATACTTATCTCTAAGTCACAATACAAATAAGACCAAGTAAAATTTTGAGTACTCCAAGTTCCCTCTCACCAGTGAGATCTGCAGCTTTAGCCCTAATACTCTATTTCAATGGAGGTAAAATT